CTCTGGAGGAAACCGGTGGTTAAGAATCACTTGTGTTTTATACCACAAAGAAAATCATTAAACCACCGATGAATTATCTTAATCAATGGAACTGTTCCTATAATATAATGACAAAGTATTTGTTTCGTTTCGTTCACTCCTCTCCATCTTTACGAAAATATGTTAATTGTTTTTCTTAAATGGCTATCACCAACAAAAAACCTAACGGGTGGTACTTACTGCATATTTTAAGTTAGACCCATAAAGGTCGTAAAACTGTAGGTATTTATTAACTGTAAGGCCCAATCTTTGGACGGTTATCACTTAATAGCAGGTGAACCGCCAGCTTGCTTGCTCCTTTGCTTCCTTGCACCCTCTCACATAAAAAAAGAATTGTGAAACAAGGTTTCATGGAAATCTTATATATAAAAATGGATTGCTGTTCGTTAGTCTCGCTAAAACTCGTGAATGGCTGGACCGATTTGGCTAATTTTGGTTTTGAAGTATTTGTGGCAGTCCAGGGAAGGTTTAAACGATGAGAAATTGTGGAAAAACTGCATGGAAAATCGAAATAGCAACAGTTTTATTTTACCATACAAATTGTACCCGTCAACCTGTCAACTATGTCTGTTTAACCTGTCAAGCACTATGCGTGCGTTCCGATTCCTCTAGAAATAATTTATATGGCAAAACAACGTTTGCCGAGTCAACTAGTTTGTGATAATTTTATTCCAAAATTGTTTTTTACCAGACTAATCGTACCCCTCATACTATTCATAACTATAGGCTGTTACGTTAAAAATGCAATATTTTTGACTTCTTCTTTCAATTAATATGCAATATTTTTTTAATAATCTTTTACTAAACATTCCGAAGTTCTCTGTGTTTGATTATAGCCTTTGTTCAAAAGAAAACTGAACTATTTGATTTTTGTTTATGTTCCTTTTACGGCAATTACTTCAATAGGATTATAGAGAAACTCAAACAAACCAACAAAAGTAAACTAGACTAAAGTAAATATTAAAAAGTCGTCCGAACTTTTACTCAGTGGGCTCTCTTTGAAGAATCTATTTCGGGAAGATCCTAATGGCTTTCTTGTCCTAATATTTATACAAAGATATAACGTTTTTTTACGGTCCATTTAGGTATTATAATCTTACTAATGTGGATCGGATGTGATAAATATGGAATTTTCTATGTTCTCTTATGATTATTTAAAATCGTAATAAAAATTTTATTGACTTATTTCATTATACTCTTATTTTTTATTTACTCTTTTTAAGAGGGCGCCATTGGGCATTAAGTCCGCCCGTTGTAGGCCTTAGCTTTTAAGGTGTAGCAATAAAGTTTAAATAAATAAAATATCACTATATACTAACGTATAAATTATCTCCTCTTGCATATTGTTACAGTTTCATCGCTAAGAAGTTTCGTGAAGAAGTTTCATTCCCTTTGAAGAGATGGCTACCTCACCTATTAAAAGATGAAATACGAAAGTACAGATACTGCCACCTGACATATTTAATGTGGCAAACAATACTTTATATTGCAGTTTATTTTGATTTTTAGGGTTCCATACACAAAGGGTTAAGCGGGACCGTATTGACTAAGACTGTGCTGTCTGTCCGTATGTCCGTCCGTGTGTCACGAGGCTGTCTCACGGATCCTCATAGTTAGCTAGTTGAAATTTTTACAGATGCTGTATTTCTGTTGCCGCTATAACAACAAATACTAAAAAACAGAGCAAAAACTATTTAAGTGGCGCTCTCATACAATATGCATGATTTTTTTTGCCGTTTTTATAAATAATGGTACCCAAACCTTTCTGCGTGAGTCCGACTCGCACTTGGTCGGTGCTTTGTTTAAATTCTGATATTTACAATATTTTATAATAAACTAGTCCACGCGGTATGATGCCAAGAACGCCAGCTGCATTGCCTCGCTGAATAGTTATCGCTTGAGCGAAAAAAGAGCCAGCCCTAATGTCACCAGTCACGGCGATAAGTGTAAGATAGTTTAATTTTAACTCAAGAATAATGTATACAGCATTAATGGTTACCGGACAGACAATATTGCAAGTTCTGTTTCGCTCGGGGTGATGTCGGGTAGAAATTTTTTTATTTTCTCAATGAAAGCTAATTGTATGAAAATTAGACCGAACATGAAATCCGTAAACTAGTTTCACTGAAATGCGAAGTAGTCGCGCAAATGGGAAAAATTATGAAGTTTCGACTCGAAGTTTTTTCGAAGTCTTTTACGACTACCACGTCTTTCAAGTTTCAAGAATTAATAGGCTCTGCGTAAGTGAATAGCCCTGACTGCACCCGTTGGCCCTATTTAAGTAAAGAAAGCTTGTTTTAGAATAAACATTTAGGTTAATCGAACAAATTAGTCTTGATTTTATTTCTTTATTTTGCTGGTATTTTTATTATTACTGTTAAACTGCTGTTTTGTCTTCATGGGGATCAATGTGATTAAAATATCATACTGAGATGGCCGTCTAACACTGTTTTTTATAAAATAGTGTTAACAAAGTGAAATTGTAATACTTCTTAATCTAATGGCACAAATGAAACTTTACTCTACCTTACCTTAGAAACTTGTTTCATAATCAGGATGTACAAATGCAACTTTTTAAGTAAGATAAGTACTGGGGTTACTGTGTCTACCTGAAACAAAATGCAATATCATATGTGAACATAATTATGTACAACATAGCATACTGGTCAATATATTTAAGTACGGTATCGATTTAAAAAAAAGAAGGAATACAAAATGATAATATAAATACGTAGAATTTAATGGCATTGCTATAATAACAGAAAAAAGAACAGACCGAAAAACCGATTCCCGACGACAAGAATTCAAAGCCTAACATGCATCAATGAGCGTTTCTTATTTCCAATTTACTACGAGCAAAGTTTACCCTCTCCGAGTTAAAACTTCATATAAGACTTTTATAAACTTGTGAAGAAAGCGATATTCTCTACTTAATTAGCTTTATCATACAGCCGGACGGAATGAACCCTCAACAAACGATATGAGAATAAACGCGAAATTGCAGAATCAGACTGTGTCTATTGTGTCTCAACAACTGCCTTAGTAGACGTTCACGGGCGGTGTCGTTACTTAACATCAGGTGAACCGTCTGCTTCACAACTATTCACACAGAGACGTCGACGGACGTGACACGACTGACCTATGTCAGCGGGCCGACATAAGCGCCGCTGAGATGCACGGGCCCGCGTCTAAATCTATTTCGAACGTAACGCCCGGCGGAGCGCACTAAGGTGGCGGCGGCCCCACGTTGTTCTATTTTACTCCGGCCACCAATCATCGTAATCTAAACACGGTCCAGGATTCCTCGTGTAACGCGCGGAAGAAAACGTTAAGACAGTCGGCACGAATAAAAACGTCGATAGGCTTTAAGAAACAGATGTTCGGTTCTTGTTCAAACTAAGCGACTAAGCAGTCCATCGATCGACATTCAACCGTCGTTCATACATTTTTAAATTAATTGTATGAACATAAACATAAACAATAGATGTTTTTATTCTTTTTATTTCTAACTGTTCATATAATTAAACTTTCGCAAATATGTATCTGATCTGCTCTATTTATTGATTTGGTTTTTGATTTAGGCTTTTATTTTTTATGTGTAATTTTCCTTGCTCTACACCAATTGTTTAGTAAAGATTTCTGAATTTACCTTTTGTGTCTACTTTACAACGTTGTTGTTTATATTTTTAACCCATATATTAGTACATAACATCAGATGCTATATGATAAATTCGTATCTAAATTTTTTTACACTAGATTGATTTGACGTCACCATAACTAATGGTATCTCATTTGCGTGCGCAAGTGAGAACTGAATGATGCGATTGATTTTCTAAATGCTAGGAGATAAAAGATTTAAAAAACCTTCGGATAGCCGTATTTAAAAGTAAACTGTTACTGCAAGCATCAGCAAGTACCTCCATTAATAACATTCCCTTACTATTGTTTCAGATGCGGCGTCAAACATTTCCTAAAGAAAGCTGAAACCGGTCAAATCCGAATCATTATGTAAGCATCTATATGTGTGTGTATTTAATTAAATATGAAATAAACTTAAATTATTTATAGTGCTAATCTCTGCACTTAAGATTAAACATGAAAATATGTAGAAAAAGTACGTAAAGATTGTAGCCGCTAAAAAAAACAATGTAGATAAAAGACGTTAAGATTTTCGCCGAAGCCGAGAATGCCGAAGACGTGGGTTCGATTCCCACGACGGCGATAATCTTTTCGTACTTTTTCTACATATTTTCATAAATATGAAAGCTTTGATAGATAACGTGAAAATTCTTTTTTGGTATACCCAAGTTTGTTCAATAACGTGTAATTTAATATTGTAAATGTTTTAAGATAACGTTTTAATTTGTTAGTATTTTTATTAACGTATCAAATCTTAAGATGATAATGAAAAATTACTACCTATGAGACGATGAACTCATTGACGATTGACGCCATTGCCATTAATATTTCTGTTTCATAGTGACTACACATTTTTTTTTTAACAAGAATAGTGTTGGAACTATGAAAAGTCGGAATAGTAGCGATAATTAGAAAATATAAAAATGAAAACAAAAAATGCTGACGTGTGGTGGACCCTCAGTACTAGCAGTGGCCTATTTTCTACAGTACACTCTAACAGGCTGAAATCATGATAGATGATGATGATGATGAAACTTGTATTAAGAAAAGTTTAATACAAACAAATTTTGCGATCAGGTAACATTTACTTCCTCATTTACCGTGCGTTGAAGAAATAAATTAGATAATGGTGGCCTACATAAATAAACACTTAAGAGGTACAGGAGAAAATACATTCTGAGTTATAATAATTTATCGCGGCTCCATTATGATTTATAGATGAGGCGTGTTTTGACTAACTTTGCTACCTAGTGAAACGTTTATTTTTATTGCAGGTAATTTGAACGTTGAATCCAGGAAGGCAACACCGAAGCATTGCCAAGATGGAGCTGGAAGATGTGGAGATGTACGGGCATAACAATTACACCTATGATGAGAACTCAACGTTCAACGGCACTTACGAAAACTGCCCCAACATTAATCTGCCCATTGTCTATGTCGTAACTCAGATCTTGTATGCCCTTGTATGCGTGGTGGGACTGTTGGGAAACACGCTGGTCATTTACGTCGTACTCCGTTACTCTAAGATGCAGACAGTCACAAACATGTATATTGTGAATTTGGCTATCGCCGACGAATGCTTCTTGATAGGGATACCGTTTCTCATAATAACAATGTCCCTGCGCTCGTGGCCGTTCGGGAGATTTATGTGCAAGGCGTACATGATATCGACGGGCATAAATCAATTCACGAGCAGCATCTTCCTTTGCATCATGAGTGCGGACAGATACATAGCAGTATGCCACCCAATAGCCGCGCCAAGGCTGCGTACGCCGTTCGTTTCCAGAGTCGTGTCGGCTGCCGCTTGGACCGCATCAGCGTTGGTCATGACACCAATATTCATGTATACGACCCTGATACAAACAGACAACGGTCTCTCGTGCAACATCGTTTGGCCCGAGCAGGAGTTTACGAAGGGTCAGGCCTCCTTCACTCTGTACTCGTTTGCGCTTGGTTTCGCCGCTCCCCTCACGTTGATATTCGTCTTTTACTGTCTCGTCATCCGTAAGCTGAAAACAGTCGGGCCGAAAAATAAATCGAAGGAGAAGAAACGGTCGCACCGGAAGGTCACCAAGTTGGTTTTGACCGTTATAGCAGTATATGTTCTGTGCTGGCTGCCATATTGGGCGTTCCAGGTCGCACTGATCTACTCGCCGCCCACGGAATGCGCCAGCAGAATAACTATAACAGTATTCTTAGTCGCGGCCTGTTTCAGCTACAGTAACTCCGCCATGAACCCGATCCTGTACGCCTTTTTGTCGGACAATTTCAAAAAGAGCTTTCTGAAAGCTTGCACGTGTGCGGCCGGGAAGGATGTGAACGCGACACTGCATGTGGAGAACAGCGTGATACCGAGGAAGAAGGGTGGCGGGACGGCGCGAGCGCAAGCCAGAGCCGCCGCTGAAACAAGGGGCTTGACCGCTCCGGATGGTGGGGCTGGCGGCTCCAGATCTGAGGCTTCCACGGCCGTCACCTCTCGTTCGGCAGCGGTCAGCGAAGCGATGCCGATGGACGCCCGGCCTGGGTCCATGACCCCACTGATAGCGCCAAACGGAATATCCCACTCGCGCCTCTGAGTGAGGGCCTCTCGCCGTCGCCGCGAGCCCTCCAGTGCCGTCCTAGAGGAGGACACCTTAATCGTATCCATCGATTAGGAACTAAAGACTGTACAAACTAATCGTCTCTTTCGGTCGCGAGACCAGAGCCCTGTCCCGCGACCGGCTAGACTCACACCGCGTCAAGTTTCTCTTTCTTAGATATAAGTAAATCTGTAAACGTTCGTCTTAATATTCAAAATTATCTGGACCTGAGCGCGTTGTCTGGATTATCAAGAACTTGGGGGCGACTTTGGAACGTGCAGATTTTCGCCCTGGGGTTGTAAAGAAAGAATTTACTAATGTAGTTAGATTTTTATCACACATATGAATAAGTTTACTATTTGTATACCATTCATAATGATAATACTGTAAAAATGTACATATCGTGTAAATAATAACAGAAATGTCATAATGTTGGAATAAAGTTATATGGATAATCTTGGAAAATTTGCTTGTAGTTACTATTTACCACTCATATACTTCAATTAAATTGATTTGAAGTAATAATAGGAAAAAAATTACAAAACCGTATCCAGAGGGTATGGCTTCTATTCTCGCTGTAATTAAAAATGAAAGATTTTGTGATATTTACAAAAGAAAATATGTATCAGTTACATCGAATTCAGAATACAAGTTTTGATTAGTTTGGGATTGTATAACTTTTCTTGTTGTTGTGGCAGTCTGCGGGGGAGACCTATGTACAGCAGTAGACTCAATTAGGTTGAAATGGTGATGATGATGATGAATATTTTTTAAAAATAATATGACATATATTAAAACGGCACTAAATTAAACCAATCCACAATTAGTATATTCATTGAATTCTGCTGTAGAGCTGTTTCTAGCACTGTATAATATGTCCACCACGTATCTTAATCCTCCATGAATATTTATCTATACATACAGATAAATAAAATTGGAGTGTCTGTTTGTAATATTAAAATAACCGCTTTTTACTAAATGCGTATGGATGTATACACGGTACATATACCAAAATATTTTTTTTTACAATTTTTGTCTGTCTGTCTGTTTGTTCCGGCTAATCTCTGAAACGGCTGGACCGATTTGGACGGGACTTTCACTGTAATAAGGATGATGTAATAAGGAGTAACTTAGGCTACTTTTATTTTAGAATTTTTTTTATTTTAATTTCCACGCGTACGAAGTCGCGGTCAGAGCTAGTTATCAATATAAATATCACCTTCCTTTAATTATGAACCTCTGATAAATTATATAAAATGAAGCATGCAGGTACCTATTAACATCTTGTCAACACTAAAATTGAAAAGCGGGTTTCCGTACTGGAAATTAATCGAAAATACAAAAACAAATGCCTTTTTAAAAATAATTGCGTTCATACTGGGGCATAAAATGGTATCGTAGAAACATATCACTTATACAAATGAGGTATGAACACAAACATAATTTTCTTCTGTAGGTTAATTACCTATAAAAGTAACAACCTATAAATGTTCTGTGGTTTTGCGGACTTCAGATATTTTTGAAATATTTTTTTTTGTTATTATTTCGATCATATGCAGGTTTCCTCAAGAAGTTTTCCTTCATCGCTGAGTACGTGATAAGTCAGCACTTAAAATGGTCGGGACCATTTTAAATGCTGACCATTTGCAACGGGGATCGAACTCGAGTTTGCTCGAGTAAATTGAATTAAAGGACCCTGAGCTATCACGGTTCATATAATCACCTAGATTTACAAATTTATTGAGACAATACACGATTACTTTAAAAAAAATCATATCTCGCCAACTTACTTCTGAATGAATGAATGACATTTTATTTACATTCAACAAACACAGTTATGTTAACAATTAAAAGAATATATAATAAAGGCATGAAACCAAATAGGTATTTTACCAAAACTCGGCACGGTTTACCGATTTCAGTACTACCAAAAATAATAAACTACTAAATGATTAATAACAAACTAGACTTAGATTACACACAAACAAAAAGCGGGTACATTCACTCGGACAGTAACACAATAACTACTAACTATAACACAAATCTGGTACCTACATTATTTCAAAGACAACAACACAAAAACGACTAACTAAAAATTTTAATCTATAAGTATGAAGCAGTGAACAGAAAAACTTCTACGCTTTTGTTACACTTAATGCCATCCGAAGTTTATATGCCGATACAAAGCAGGTGTCCTCTTGGTTTAAATGTACTCAGGGCACACTTACAGCCATCAATCATAACGTCGTCAATCACGTTCGACATGTCTCGAAGAGAAGGCGGACAATCATAGTAAAGAAATTTCCGCATACTAATCACAAATATTTGCTAAGTTAACCCATATCCAATATACCTTTATTTTTTTTACTTTACATAAAAAACGCCAAATCTTTGTATTGTACATTGCGTGTATTCATATTTTTTATAGAAAGAAGTTTTAATGGCGATATAAAAATTAATGTGTAAAAGTCTTACGATCGCTTCATTTGGATAGTTATTATTTATGGTAATGAATTTTAAACTTTATTAATCATTGATAACTAGCAACAATAGCTAATATTTTTTTAATGAAATCCAAAAATGTGTAATAAGTAAAAAAGTAAAGTATATATGTCCCACTGTTGGATAAAGGCCCTTTCTATACCTCGACCTCACTGCGCATTTGGTTAGCAGACTACACATATCTATGAAAAAAAAAATATTTTTATTATTTCGGAAATATGCAGATTTCTGAGCTCATGTTGGTGATAAAAACACAAGTTTATTTAATCCCTAAACACTTACGTGAAATAATCAATCATCAAAAGCGATCCATTCCTGTGCTTTTTACACATTAAGAAGATTAAAGGGCTCTTCTTGATTCTATCGTTGAGAATACCAAAGAATGGACGCGACTGAGGGTATCAGATAATAAATTATAAATGGATGAAGGATGATATTCCTATATTATTAGGCTCACCAGTTTTATACCATTTTATGACTTTAATTGTTTCAGATTTATTTATTTTTACTTGTGGACGGTTTTACTCAACTTTGTACTCATAATTTGAACCAAACGATTATACAAGACTTGCACTGACACGTTTTAACAAAGTGTGCCAGTGTAACAGTTTAAAAGAAACCAAATAAAAAGCTTGAAATGTAAAAGGTCACATATTCTATTAATTTTTCAGTCTACAAAAAACAATGACATGGTTATATTTATCAGACTCCCAAAAATCCTTCCAATTCAAGTGATCCGACCTTACTTCAGCTTCGCGGAGATGTATCTCCAAGGTAAAAATAAAAAAGAATACAAGATTGTCATAGCTTATAATTCATGACATCGAATTTTACTTATTCTGGTAAAATCAAAACACCAATTTTTTTTCTGGTGCCGCGTTATAATAAAAAAGAAATCAGTATTATAGAAAATGATTACAATACGATCTATCTGGTAAAATTTCAAAGTGAACCATTAGTTTTCAAGCCAACCAACATCTCAATATCGCGTCGTTCCTTCCCTAAACATTCCGTAATCAAACGGCTTTAATGGAAACGTCTGCCTTGACGAGATACAAGAGTGATGTAGCCCTGAAAACAGTACTGAAAGGTTACAATCGATTCCGTTAATATATTGGATAGTTTGTTTTGGAATTGGGATTATTTCTCTTAGCTCAATTCAAATGACCGTTCATCGTTCAACACGATCCATCATAGCTCACTAAAGCCAAAACAATAGCCCACATCAAATGTGTTATGTTGTATTTCAACTCTGATACTATCTGTCCGTGTGTAAATGGGTAAGTGACAAAGAATGGTGTTTATCAAATCTTACTTTTTACAGTGCAAAATATCAACTTATTTTTTAACATCTCAGATCCGTCTCCAGAGCCATTTTTTTTAGAACATTGCCCTTACAATTATATTATTCGTGTTTGTCCACGCGAAATTTATGTTTTACAAACATAAATTTCTCGTGTAAAAATACCCAGATGTGAAACAACCATCTGTAGGTCACGCAAATAGTTGTCCCGTGTGGGAATTCAACCCACGACCCCACACGCCGAAGCCAATACTTTGTCGACTGCGCCACGGAGTCATCAAAGTTACTTTCACGTAAAACGTGTAATATGAAAAAAAAAACTATACATGGAGATTTGAATACAATAAAGCGGAATGGCTGTCATGGAATTTTCCGAGCATAGGCAATTGAGCTTTATGGCTGTTTAGGAAACAAGTAATAAAGACTTTCCAAACCATAGTCGACATCGTAAAACAAAAGAAAACTCCGCTATCTATTCGATTTCTTTTTATGGTGATACTTTTAAATAATGACTAACCGTGGTTCAACTAAACTTACATGCTTAATATGCATTTAAGCTAAATAAAAAAAATTATGTCTTAAGGTGACGTTAAGGTTTATAGTTAATAATTAATAGTTTTCAGTAAGAATGAATGTATTCCCAGAGGTTGTGAATATGGAAATTCTAAAATTTGTATTCAATTATTTTTAAATATTTTCTATTTATAATATTTTAACGTAGTATTATTGAAGTTGTACTTCATTTGGCGCGTTAGGGAAAAATAATGAGAGTAAATTTTTACGTCGAGTATACCTCAATGTTCGAAGACTAAAGTCTTCAATCAATGTGTGTTGCCAGTAATGACCTACGGAACCGAGACGTGGTCCTTCAATGCTGGCCGTATGAGGAAGCTCAAAGTCGCTCAGCGAGCTATGGAGCGGGCTATGTTCGGTATTTCTCTGCGTGATAGAGTTCGTAACGAAGACATCCGCAGTAGAACCAAGGTAACCGACATAGCTCAGAGGATTAGCAAGCTGAAGTGGCCGGCCATATAGCTCGTAGAACCGATAACCGTTGGGGAAGAAAGGTTCTCGAGTGGCAGCCTCGTACTGGCCATCGCAGTGTAGGACGACCCCCCACTAGATGGAGTGACGACCTGTGCAAATGTGCGGGAAGTCGATGGATGCAGGTGGCTCAGGATCGTACTTC